TGAGCAGTGGTTTTTAAAGTGTGTCTGTGGAACCCTAGAACCCGAGGGCCCCCTCGATCGGCTAGGTTCCGATTATGTTCATAACAAAACTTGGCCCTAGCCTGGTTCGTTCTTGCTCACTGTGTGGACGTTGGCACTGGCGATGCAAAGGCACCCGGAGTAGAGCTGATGCAGCGCTCTAGTGCCCTCTTCTCTGCCACACACGGCAGGGGAGAGAGCCCATTTTACGGAAGAATATATTTGAGCCCTGGCTGGTGTGGCTCCCTGGATTGAACGCTGGCCTTCGAGCCGAAAGGTCGCCGGTTCCATTCCCAGTCAGGGCACATGCCTGGGTTGTGGGCCAGGTCCCTAGTTCGGGGCTTGCAAGAGGCAACCACACACTGATGTTTCTCTCCCTCTCTTTCTTCCTCCCTTCCCCTCTCTCTAAACATAAATAAATAAAATCTTTTTTTAAAAAAAAAGATTATACTTGAGGACTCATTGAAAATCCTGAATTTTCTTAAATCTCAGCCCTAGAGGTCACATCTCTTTAACATTCTGTGTGGCGACGTGGGAGGTCCTCAGAGCCTCTCGCTGAAGTGTGAGCGTGATCACCACGGCACACGTTTGTGCGAAATGAGAGGAGTCTCCAGCCAAACTTGCCACTCGTTTTTTGTGCAGTACCGATTTTATTCAAAAGGACAACTGATAAACAAACCATAGTTAGTTATTCAGTCTTGGTTATTTGGTAGACATTTTCTGGACAAAGAAACGGTCTTAAACCTCTCGTTTAAGGAGGGAAAACAGCAGTATTTATTGCCAGTGGTAAAACTCAGGACGAAAAATGAAAATCAGTATTTTTGAAAACTTGAATCAGCCACTGCTTCCCAGTACTTAAAGACTTTTCTGATGAGATCGGTACTTTTCTCAATGTCAGTGAATGTGAGTTTTCGATATTATGTAATGAAAAGTGTCAACATTTAGAAGTTCTGCAAAACTAAACCAACCAATGTTTTCTAAATGATCGATGCATAATGTCGCAGACTCATGCATATGGATAGAAGATCCATTCAAAAGGCAAAGTAGACCCGTGATTTTTAATTTAACAGAGTAAGAAAAGTTCATTGATGTGATGTCAGATTCCTCATTTTACTCATTTCTGAGAAGCGACTGCTTGTCAGGTTTCGGCATCGTATTACAAAAAGATGATCCACAATTATCTAAAAGTGCTATTAAAGTACTCTTCCCTTTTCCAGCTACATGTCTGTGTGAATCCAGATTTTCTTCGTGTACTTGAACCAAAACAGCACAAAGCAGTGGATTGAACGTTGAAACAGATGAAAGAACCCAGCCGCCTTCAATCCAGCCAGGCTTTACAGAGATTTGCAAAACTTAAAAGAGTGTCACTCCTCTAACCTACTTTTCTTTCTTTTATTATTTTTTTGGAGGGGGGAAGTTACATCTCGTTAAAAATGTGTTATTTATATTAACATGCAGTAGGCTTATTATTATCATTTAAGTGAATAAATATTTTTAAAATTTGTTTTAATTTCTGATATGGTAAATACTGATAAATATAATCCACGTAAACAAAAGCTCTTTGAAGTCCTCAGCAATTTCAAGAGTCTAAAGTGATCCTGAGGCTTTTTTTTTAAAGATTTTATTTATTTATTTTTAGAGAAGGGACGGAGGGAGATAGAGAGAGAGAGAAACATCAATGTGCGGTTGCTGGGGGTCATGGCCTGCAACCCAGGCATGTACCCTGATTGGGAATCGAACCTGCGATGCTTTGGTTCACAGCCCGCGCTCAATCCACTGGGCTACGCCAGCCAGGGCTCTGAGGCCTTTTTAAAAATGAGAATGACTGGTCTGCATGAAAGTATCCAGTGTTGGTGCAGTGCCTTCCAGAAGAATCCACTCAGTAAATTCGGATTCTTCTTAACGCTTCTAAAATTATTCAACTTTTGTGACAAGGCCATCGTCATCCAGGGTCCTTAGCATCCTTGTAGGCATGAGACAGGGTAAATCTAATTTTTTGCCAGTGTTTTTGTTAAGATTCTTAGTTGTCATTCTAAGTTAGTTTTCCTTTTGTCTAGTGAACGTTAAACACTAAATATAATTGGAAGTCAAAAATTAGAAGTATGTCACTAGAACGAGAGAGAGAGAGAGAGAGATTAATTGGTAGAATTGGTAAGGTAAAATAGGGCATTAATCTGAGCTTGTCTTGTTAATATAGCCTCAGTATACGGTCTTTACAAATACATTCTTAAACCTTAGTTTAGCCATAGAAATGAGGACATGATAGAATGAATACATTGAATCTATAGGTTATTTTAAGTCTATTTTACCTTGTTATTTAAATGCCTTTTAAACCTTAATCCAGAAGTGCTAAAAAGGATCCCAAAGAATCACTTATTCTAACTTCTTTCTTGTATTCCTTCTTGGTATGCACCTCAAAGCATTGTTAAAAAGTGGGCACAGAAAAAAAAAAGAAAACTATAAACTGTATAGCCTGGTTAATCAATATCATAATTTAGACAAAAAAGAGAGAAGTATTGTTCCCTCCTTCATTCTGCCTACAGCACTGGGGAATGCTGTGCTGTAGGCAGGGTCCCCACATGGGGTCCCCCACATGTCTTATAAGCTATTGTCCTGTTTCACAATACCATGAAGAAACTCGGAACAGAGGTCAGGTCGGGGGAGGGGGACCATGGGACAGTGAACGTGACTCAGGGGAATCCAGTGCTGATATTGACTTACATTTTGTCAGGAGACCTGAGTTACGCTGTACATACAGTGTCCTGTAGTCTGACTTTTACGTACAGAGTCGGTCAGTATCTTCCTGCTCAGTAGAGAACATAAGATTACTGTTCAAATGAAATTGCAGTGGGCAGCTTAGGTCACCCCTGACTAACTTACATAAGAAGGTTAGTCATTTGAATGAAAACTTGTCTGGGCCACAAAACCACCACATTTCCACACAAAGGAGGTGTAGCCTCTCTGTTGAGATCGTCTGGGTATTTGTTCTAAAAATAGGCCTACTTCGTGGTGAAATCTAACCCAGTTGTTTGTCCAAATCACGTTAAGAAGATCAACTTTGACTCGGCTTTTAAGTGTAGGCAAGAATCTCCGATCATGTCAGAAAGGCTTGAGGGTCAGTTCCCTTGAAGCCTTTTGTGATAATTTTAGGACGTTCTGAAGTATGAAGAAAACTTAAAAATTGTTTAAGATGCCGCCCTGGCTGCTGCGGCTCGGTTGGTTGGAGCATCATCCCGCAACCCAGAGGTTGCGGGTCTGAATCTCGGTCAGGGCACACACACGCCCAGGTTGCAGGTTTGATTCCCGGACCCCTGCTCTGGGCATGTGGGGGAGGCGACCAAGGCAACCTGATCGCTTCTCTTCTCTCACGTCAATGCCTCTCTCTCTAAAAGCAATGATAACAATTGTCCTTGGGTGAGGACAAAAGCCAATTAAAATAAAATAATGTAAGATGCTTAGCATACGAGGTGCGAGTCGGGGGTGGGGAAGAGCTGGCGTGGAAGGCAGACACTGCGGGTGCTGCGCGTCCTGCTGTGCAACATGGGGAGGAGATGGAGCGGGAAAAGAGGGGAAATCCTTGAGCGTCTGAGAATTAGTAACGTGTCCAGCCAAGCCCTCGTGATATTTTTAGTTCTTTGACTTTGAATTATTTTGGAGGGTAGTTGATAAGCTCCCCAAACCACGCAGAGCCGCGCACAGAGGCAGACTTGTAGGGAGAACAGGAAGCTAAGCAGAAGGGGCGTTGAGGAGAAGGGGGGGCGGGGAGGCAGACACACACCGCACCACCCGAATGGCCAACTGGTTTACTTTCTGTGGTACTCGGGCTGTAGTTGTGCGTGTTTGGGTGTTACGGTATAAAACGTCTAGGAAATCACTGTAACCTCCTTGCAGTCGGTCCAAACCAGGAATACCTGTCGTCCTGTGACAAAAAGACCGAAAGTCCGTGGAGAGTGACAGCAATGCAGGCACTCATCTGATAGATGAAACGTGCTTGTTTGTGACCTACAAACCCCCCCCGCTCTCGGGGGCGTGTCTCCCCCTGTCTTCGGTCCGACGTGCTCCCCCGGCATAAACAGTGTTGACTAGTGCGCTTTACCTGGCCCCTGCACGTCTGTTTCCAAAAGGCTTTGGTCCTTCATGGCTAAAGGACCTTGAGTGTACACATGGAACTACCGCAGACGTCTTATTGAACGGACCCGATGTGTATTCGTGATGAAGATATGCTGTTCCGAGGCTGACACAGCCCAAATGAGTGAGCAGTCCATACCAAAAAATGTTAAAGTGACAAAGTAATAGTAACCACTCGGTATTTTACGGGGCAATGAGACATTCAGAAGAGTCGAGATGTTTAGCTTTGACCTTGTGTCCCTCCGCCTCTGGGAGACATGGCGGTGATATGCCTAGATCTTCCTCGAGGAAATTGCTTCCTGTGAATTCAAGGCATTACTGGCCTCTAGTGGTAATATGCTACAGTTTAAGCACTTCTAATTCTTAGGAGTGACTGGAAATAAAGCCATGTTAAATGTTCAGGCTGCTGATAACTTCCCTCTCTCGGTTCTGGGTCCACAGTGCTCTCGAAGCGTGCACGCGACACCATCTTCCTCCCTGAGACGAGGGCCTGTGTCTGTCTTGTGTTCTGGTTGCTGAGTCGCCCTCTCCTCTTCGTTTTGAGTAATGCCGGTTTAGCTGTGAAGCGACCTCCCGTGATTCGGGTGCCTGTGCAGTGGGGTGTCCTGGGTCGGCTGTGTGCCAACAGTTCTTCCAGGAGCGTTTCAGCCGTCTTGTCTGCAGACTGCCGGCCCACGTTGACTTCTACATATTATAACAGTTTCTATTCTCTTAAGAGAAAATTTTCAGTGTCTCACTGAGATTCGTGTTTAGACTCATCTCTGTTTAATTTGATGTTGAAAATCATTGCACTCGAAATACCACTGTTTGCTAAGCAGCGTAATGATTCGCCGCTTCTCCTCCTCGTCTTGCAGATGTGAAGGGGCCCCCCACGCACCGGCTGTCCTGCGGCCAGTCGCCCTACACCGAGACGACGACATGGGAGCGGAAGTACTGCATCCTCACGGACAGCCAGCTGGTGCTGCTCAACAAGGAGAAGGAGGTGAGGCGGATGGCACTGGGGAGGGCTGCGTCCCTTCTCCGCGGTCCTGGAGTGACCTAGCCTTTATCTGCACTTACGAGCACGGGGGGCTTTGCGAATGACGAAGGCTGAGCAGGTCTAACAGGCTGCCAGTGTCGGGAGGACATGTGGGTGCCGTGCAGAAGTGAGTCCTTCAACGTGACAGGCCAGGGTTTCATTAAGGAGCAGTGAAAGAGAGGTGAGCGAGTAATTCGGAAAGAGAACGGATTGGATGGTGTAGCCCCGGCCCCTACAGTGGCCCAGATGGCCTCCTGGGAAGGACATCAGTCCAGCTCCTAACCAGTGACTAGTGGGACAGTCAGTGGGTTAATTGAAAGAGATGTAATGAAGGGACTATTTACAGAGGCATAGGCCACATAAGGGACCCCCAGAGGGTCCCCCAGAGGGTGGTGAGGCCCCCATGAACTAGCAACAGCAGAAGGCGGTTACGTGCCGCTCTGGACCTTCGGGTCGAGGCAGGGAAGCAGTGTTTCCGGAGCCCCGAGAACTGCGGCTGCCCAGAGGGCTGAAGCCCGTCGCCATGGCTCTACCCAAAGGCCGCAGCCTCGGCCAGTGCCCCGGGACGGCGAGGGGGACGGCGAGGGGGACTCAGGGAGAACAACGCTCCCACTCTCTCCTCCCGCCTCCCGATTTCTCGCCCAGGTGACCCACTGGCCAAACCTAACGTGATGTCGGAGGAAGAGGTTGCTCTCACTTGCTTCCTGCCACGCAGAGCGAGGGAGAGTGGGCTGGAGAGGCAGGCGGAGTGTAGTTAGTTCTGGTTCCAGGACACCTCCTGTCCCTCTGAGTTAGAACAGGCCAACAACACAGCTTACCGTGCACTGTGACTGCTCTGTTCCTCAGACTGCTCAGTGCGTAAATCCTTCCCCACCCAGACAGTTCACGTGCTTACTGGTGGTTTGGCAGGTAGTTGATGTCGTTCTGCTGGGGTGGAGCCATTCAGCCATCTCACTCCTGACCCCCACGACATAAAGAAAAAAGAGTGACCGTGATCTTCACCAAGCAGAGGGAGAAATGGAAGGGAAGGAAGGTGCTAAATGGGAGGGAAGGTGATGTGCTAATTGGTGAAGGAGAAAGATTAGTTGCCACATATATAATCTGTGGAATATCAATCCAGTAAATAAAATATTTAATATTACATTTTATTAAAATAATTGTTAACACTGCATCCTATTCTGGAGTGGTCTAGTACACGTTGTTGTGTTTATATTGAGTAGATACATAATGAAAACTGGTAAAGTGAGTATTAGTGTGGAAGATTTGTAGTTGTCCCATTTGAATAAGCAGCTAATCCAAAATGCACATTTCAACCAGTCTACTCTGTCCTCAGTCGTTTATCAGAGTTGTTCACGCATCAGGCCCCATATGCACAGATCATCCGCCGTCGTCCTGCCGTCTCCTGCATTTTATTCCGTTTGGTGCTGGAAGAAACGTAACAGCCTGAGGGGAGATGGCAGGAGCATGCCTTATCTAGAACAACATATAATCCATTGATTAGGTATTAGTAATCAATGGAGCAGTACAGGCCTGGGCGCCCTTTTGTCTGATAAAATAACTGTCCATAATGAGTAATTTTTCAACACAGAATCTCAGGTGCATTACCCCTTGTAACTCGGGTTCTCGTGAGAAACCCAGACGCCGGGGGAGCCCTGCGGCTCCTCCGCGCTCGGGCTCTGCGCCTCTCCCGTGCTGTGCTCGCCCTTCGCTCGCTCTGTTCCGCCGCGCGCAACCCCCCCACTGCGCCCTCCACAGCCTGCGGTCCGTGCGCAGCAAGCCCGCTGCGGCTTCCACCTTCCCCCGAAGGAGGCTTTTAACTTCTTGGTCTCACGAGAACCTCTGTCTTCCCAAAGGACCCTGTCTTCTCTGAAGTCCCGTCAAGTGCTGGCTCTCCGCCCCGCCCCGTAGCCCTGAGACCACGCTGCCTGTAGTAGGCGCTCTCCGTCCAGGGCACTTCCGTCTCTGCCCTCCCGTTGTCCCTGGAGAGCCCAGACTCCAAGTCTCCTGTCGCAGCGTCTTCTGACTCCCAGCCGTATCGCTCATCGCTCTCACTCGCACTGTCACTCTACCCCTGTCCTGTCTCCCGGTTGTTGATTTGTGCTACTGGCTCGTCGTCATTTCCTCCAGCACTGCACCAGCCTTAATATGTGATTCTGTATCTGGAGACGTGATTCTTTCAACACATGGCTTTCAGCTCCTTGGACGCCTCTCCTTCAAGAGCCTTTTCCTCCACCTGCCTCCCGGCTACAGCTCCGTCATGTGCTCAGCTGCATGCACCTTATTCTGTGACCATCACCTCCTGTCCTTTTTTAGCTCATCCCCAGTTCCCAAAACCCTTCAGTCCTTTTGGGGCCCCTGGTCCATTGATCCCGTCCCTTTGCCCCTCGTACCTCTGATGCCCTTTCTTTCCTCGTCACCAGGCCCATGTTTTACGGCCGGTCGTTGTCCTCGCTCCCTTGCACACTGCTCCCTTGCACACTGCTCCCTTGCACACTGCTCCCTTGCACGCTGCCCCCTGGCCCTTGTCTCGCATCACCCCACTCACCTGGCACCACGGTGGCTCCCCGAAGTCCCGCTCATCCGTCCCCCTGCCCTGCTTCCAGGCGGCGGCGTGCGTCTGGAGCGCAGGAGTGCACCGCACAGGGGTCTTTCCACTCCTGGCTGCAGGCCCCGTGCGAGCCCCTCGTGCTGCTCAGTGATGACAGAGCAGTCTCCTCAGCCAGCTCCCGTCCCGCTCTCTGGGACCAGTGCGTGGCCCAGGACCGTTTTCTCTCCCCGCCTCACTGTGAACAGTAAGGCACAATGACGTGAATGAAGAAAAATGAGATTTTAAAAAGATAGAAATACAAACCCAAAATTTTATTAGATTTAATAAAAGTAAGATTACAATCCAGTAGATATACGCAGAGCGATCCTCACATAGGGAAGGAAGGAACAAAACCACACAGATACGCACGTTCATGGCCAGTGTGCCGCGAGAGGAGACACCTCCCCGGCCACCCCAGGCTCACTCCCTCTCAGTTCCCGCGCCCCCAAACCGCCATTGGCAACAAGCAGTCTGCAGAGCAGCTCGGGACCTCGGGCCGCACTCCGAGCACAGTCTACAGTGATTCCCTCGGCGGCTTTTCTTGCGTCTCTTCCTCTGCTCTCACCCTGGCTCTGGCAGCCTCGCAGCAGACCGCTTTGCCGCCTCTTTCCTCGGTGAGATGACTCGGGCCCCGGAGGAGAACTGCGTTACTGTTACCGTGCCCACCTGCCCACCGGCCCCTCTTCCCTTCTACCCCGTCCCCCGTCCCCCGTACTGTGGTCTGGCTGTCCGGTCCCGTGGCAGCCCCTGCACGGGCCCTGTTCCCGGGAAGACGCAGGAGCAGTCCCCCCGCCCCTTCCGCACCTTCCACGCCATGCTCTCCGCAGCTCCTTCCCGCCCGCGTGCTGTTGCTTCTCCCTCCAGCAGGAAAACAAGCCTGTGTCAACCCCCCTCCCGCCTCCGGTTACCGTCCATCCATTTCTCTGCTTCCCTTGATAGCAAAAGTCCTCGGAACCTGCAAGCTCGTTGCCTCTAATTCCTTGCCTCTCGTTCTCTCGTAAACCTGCTCCACTCAGACTCCGCTCCAGGGGTGTCCAGCCTTTTGGCGTCTCTGGGCCACACATTAAACACACAAACACTAGCAAAAACAGATGAGCAAAGAACATGTTTGAAGTGAAATTACTATTCTGTGTTGGGCTGCATGCGGCCCGAGGCCGACGGTTGGACACCCCTGCCACCCATACGACTCTGTCCAAAGTGCTCTCAGTCAGCGCCCTGGTGACCTCCAGATTCCTAAACCCAGGGGTCAGTTCTCCTCTCGCTTCCTTTGTCAGTGGCATTCAGTGCAGTCGGTGGCTCGTTCCTGTTTCTAGAGCCGCTCTCTTCACTGGGCTTCCGCCGCACGGCGCTCTCTCGGGTTTCCGCCTGCCGCTCCGACTGCTCGTCCTCGGTCCCCTCTGCAGGTCCCTCCTCTTCTCTCCAGATCCCTACAGGGGGCGCCACAGAGTTCTGTCCTCTGGTCTCACTTCTGCTGGCGACTCGCCCAGCCTCAGGGCTCTGCACTCCCTCTGGTGCTGAGATTCCGGCTCCTGTGTCTCCGGCTGCACAGCTCTGCTCTGCAGACTCACCCATCCCGCTGCGCACTGCACGCCTCTGCGTGGATGTGCCAGGGTCCTCTCCAGCCTCCAGTCTTCCCTCCCACGCCCATGGGACCCCGTCTCCATCAAGGACAGCTCCACCCGTCCAGGTTCCCAGGGGCTAGCTCTGGCCGGGTAGGTCCGGCTTCGGCACTGTTCTTGAGCAAATCAGGCACGTCCCACCCCAAGGCCTCGGCCTGGTTTTTCCCTTAAAATATCTGAACGACCCACTTTCTCATCTGCTTCCACTCCTTGCCTTCATGATTACCCGGCCACCTCTTTAAAATCAGAGACCCTCCTCGTATCTCCCTCCAGATCATCCGATCTGATTACGTGGCTCTGATTCTTCTGGCCCATGTATGGCATCTGCCACCCTCTAAAATGCCGTGGAATTTATTTATCGTGTCTGTTGCCTTTCTTCCAGAATGCAGGCGTTAGGGCAAGGATTTTGTCTGTTTTGTCCAATGCTGTAACCCTCAGCACCTAGAACAGTTCTTGACACATAAGCAAATCCTTGATGAACATTTGTTGAATAAATTTTGAAAAAGCGAAGTTATAAACTTTGATTCCCGAAGGTCTGATTTCTTAATGTAAGTTTGAGAGGAGATGAACCTTTCCTTCTGCCTTTCCTTTTTCTGTTGTAAATCTTCCCAGGACATGAGACTTAATTCTGTATTTTTTCCTAAAAGTAGACAAAAGATGATAAAAACAATCCATAGAATGCTTCACCATCGTTGAACTTGTGATTCCCTCTTTGTTTATTGAGCATCTACTATGTGCGCAGTGTTGCAGTTGCAGTT